ATTCTATTGTTGCAGACTGCAGTGTACTGGACGTGTGTACTGTATATGTACTATGGATCATGATTTAACCTATTCATGTTAGCAGGGCAGAATTGTGAGTGCCTCCCACAAGCTGAGCACCGAGACGCGATGCAGTAATCCTGCCCAGCGCCGACTATGAGAGGTATCGCATGAGGCACAGCGTGAGGCAACAGGGATCGGAGTGAAACTGTGAGTGAGGGAAGCTGGGACAGGACTGCATGTAAATCTATTGCTACAATGCACTGGAAGTGTGTACTGTATATGTAGTACATATATATAGGGCACACCTCCACTACACTACAGCAATAGAGTTACAATTTCTCCCCTGCTAACATGAATAGGTTAAATCATGATCCATAGTACATAACATGTAGTCGTACTATGGATCATTTAACCTATTCATGTTAGCAGGGGAGAATTGTAACTCTATTACTGCAGTGTACTGGAAGTGTGTACCAGGTTAAATGATCCATAGTAGACACTTCCAGTACACTGCGGTAATAGAGTTACAATTCTCCCCTGCTAACATGAATAGGTTAAATGATCCCAGAGGCAGATGCATGATCGGATTTGTAGTTTCACAACAGCTGTGTGAAAGCAAATGCAAATGCTTTATTGTTCTAAAACAGTCTTCAAATAAAGTTCTTCATAATCATAAAGAAATTGGCCTAAAATCATTAGTCTGTTTTTTTTTTTAAATGTCACCTGCCCCTTTAAGAAAAAGTATCGGTAATTGGTATCGGCAAGTACATGAGGGGAAGTACTTGTATTTGTACTTGGTCCTGAAAAAGTGGTATCAGGACATCCCTAATGCACACGGATAGATCTCTATATAGAAGGACAGGTTCCGACACACGGATAGATCTCTATATAGAAGGACAGGTTCCGACACACAAATAGATCTCTATATAGAAGGACAGGCTCCGACACACGGATATATCTCTATATAGAAGGACAGGCTCAGACACACGGATACATCTCTATATATAGGGGGACAGGCTCCAACACACGGATACATCTCTATATAGAAGGACAGGCTCCGACACACGGATACATCTCTATATAGAAGGACAGGCTTGGACACACGGATACATCACTATATAGAAGGACAGGCTCTGACACACGGATACATCTCCATATAGAAGGGCAGGCTCCAACACACGGATAGATCTCTATATAGAAGGACAGGCTCCAACACATGGATACATCTCTATATAGAAGGACAGGCTCCAACACACAGATAGATCTCCATATAGAAGGACAGGCTCCGACACACGGATAGATCTCCATATAGAAGGACAGGCTCCGACACACGGATAGATCTCTATATAGAAGGACAGGCTCTGACACACGGATAGATCTCTATATAGAAGGACAGGCTCCGACACACGGATAGATCTCTATATAGAAGGACAGGCTCTGACACACGGATAGATCTCTATATAGAAGGACAGGCTCGGACACATGGATAGATCTATATATAGAAGGACAGGCTCCACCACATGGATACATCTTTATATAGAAGGATAGGCTCCGACACACGGATAGATCTCTATATAGAAGGACAGGCTCCACCACACGGATACATCTTTATATAGAAGGATAGGCTCCGACACACGGATAGATCTCTATATAGAAGGACAGGCTCAGACACACGGATACATCTCCATATAGAAGGACAGGCTTGGACTCACGGATAGATCTCTATATAGAAGGACAGGCTCAGACACACGGATACATCTCCATATAGAAGGACAGGCTTGGACTCACGGATAGATCTCTATATAGAAGGACAGGCTCAGACACACGGATACATCTCCATATAGAAGGACAGGCTTGGACTCACGGATAGATCTCTATATAGAAGGACAGGCTCAGACACACGGATACATCTCCATATAGAAGGACAGGCTTGGACTCACGGATAGATCTCTATATAGAAGGACAGGCTCAGACACACGGATACATCTCCATATAGAAGGACAGGCTTGGACTCACGGATAGATCTCTATATAGAAGGACAGGCTCAGACACACGGATACATCTCCATATAGAAGGACAGGCTTGGACTCACGGATAGATCTCTATATAGAAGGACAGGCTCAGACACACGGATACATCTCCATATAGAAGGACAGGCTTGGACTCACGGATAGATCTCTATATAGAAGGACAGGCTCAGACACACGGATACATCTCCATATAGAAGGACAGGCTTGGACTCACGGATAGATCTCTATATAGAAGGACAGGCTCAGACACACGGATACATCTCCATATAGAAGGACAGGCTTGGACTCACGGATAGATCTCTATATAGAAGGACAGGCTCAGACACACGGATACATCTCCATATAGAAGGACAGGCTTGGACTCACGGATAGATCTCTATATAGAAGGACAGGCTCAGACACACGGATACATCTCCATATAGAAGGACAGGCTTGGACTCACGGATAGATCTCTATATAGAAGGACAGGCTCAGACACACGGATACATCTCCATATAGAAGGACAGGCTTGGACTCACGGATAGATCTCTATATAGAAGGACAGGCTCAGACACACGGATACATCTCCATATAGAAGGACAGGCTTGGACTCACGGATAGATCTCTATATAGAAGGACAGGCTCAGACACACGGATACATCTCCATATAGAAGGACAGGCTTGGACTCACGGATAGATCTCTATATAGAAGGACAGGCTCAGACACACGGATACATCTCCATATAGAAGGACAGGCTTGGACTCACGGATAGATCTCTATATAGAAGGACAGGCTCAGACACACGGATACATCTCCATATAGAAGGACAGGCTTGGACTCACGGATAGATCTCTATATAGAAGGACAGGCTCAGACACACGGATACATCTCCATATAGAAGGACAGGCTTGGACTCACGGATAGATCTCTATATAGAAGGACAGGCTCAGACACACGGATACATCTCCATATAGAAGGACAGGCTTGGACTCACGGATAGATCTCTATATAGAAGGACAGGCTCAGACACACGGATACATCTCCATATAGAAGGACAGGCTTGGACTCACGGATAGATCTCTATATAGAAGGACAGGCTCAGACACACGGATACATCTCCATATAGAAGGACAGGCTTGGACTCACGGATAGATCTCTATATAGAAGGACAGGCTCAGACACACGGATACATCTCCATATAGAAGGACAGGCTTGGACTCACGGATAGATCTCTATATAGAAGGACAGGCTCAGACACACGGATACATCTCCATATAGAAGGACAGGCTTGGACTCACGGATAGATCTCTATATAGAAGGACAGGCTCAGACACACGGATACATCTCCATATAGAAGGACAGGCTTGGACTCACGGATAGATCTCTATATAGAAGGACAGGCTCAGACACACGGATACATCTCCATATAGAAGGACAGGCTTGGACTCACGGATAGATCTCTATATAGAAGGACAGGCTCAGACACACGGATACATCTCCATATAGAAGGACAGGCTTGGACTCACGGATAGATCTCTATATAGAAGGACAGGCTCAGACACACGGATACATCTCCATATAGAAGGACAGGCTTGGACTCACGGATAGATCTCTATATAGAAGGACAGGCTCTGACACACGGATACATCTCTATATAGAAGGACAGGCTCCAAAACACGGATACATCTCTATATAGAAGGACAGGCTCCGACACACGGATAGATCTCTATATAGAAGGACAGGCTCTGACACACGGATAGATCTCTATATAGAAGGACAGGCTCTGACACACGGATAGATCTCTATATAGAAGGACAGGCTCTGACACACGGATAGATCTCTATATAGAATGACAGGCTCTGACACACGGATACATCTCCATATAGAAGGACAGGCTCCGACACACGGATATATCTCTATATAGAAGGACAGGCTCCGACACACGGATATATCTCTATATAGAAGGACAGGCTCCGACACACGGATACATCTCTATATAGAAGGACAGGCTCAGACACACGGATACATCTCCATATAGAAGGACAGGCTCCGACACACGGATATATCTCTATATAGAAGGACAGGCTCCGACACACGGATACATCTCTATATAGAAGGACAGGCTCGGACATAATGGATAGATCTCTATGTGTACATTGACAGTCTCGGACACACGGACACATCTCTATATACATTGACAGGCTCGGACACGCGGACAGATCTCTATGTACACTGACAGTCTCGGACACACGGACACATATCTATATTGATTGACAGACTCGGACACACGGACAGATCTATATGTACATTGACAGGCTCGGACACACGGACACATCTATATATTGATTGACAGGCTCGGACACACGGACAGATCTCTCTATAGAAGGATAGGCTTGGACACACGGACATATCTCTCTATAGAAGGACAGTATCGGACACATGGACAGATCTCTATGTACATTGACAGTCTCGGACACAAGGACAGATCTCTTTATAGATTGACAGGCTCGGACCTACGGACACATCTCTATTTCCATTGACAGGCTCGGACACACGGACAGATCTCTATGTACATTGACAGTCTCCGACACATCTCAATATAGAAGGACAGGCTCGGACACACGGACATATCTCTATATAGAAGGACAGGCTCGGACACATCTCTATATACATTGACAGGCTCGGACACACGGGCACATCTCTATATAGAAGGACAGTATCGGACACACGGATACATCTCTCTACAGAAGGACAGGCTCGGGCATATATCTATATACATTGACAGGCTCGGACACACGGACACATCTCCTCCGTGTACATGTCCATTATTTACATACAGCAACACATCCAGGCTGCTGGCGCTGTGTGTGTAGTAAAAGCGCAGCTGAGGCCGGTCCTCTCTTAGCTGGAGATTAAGAGTGCGCCTGTACAGTGCACATTACGGTAACATAGAGGAGCAGCGCCCGGAGCCGTCGCAGAGCCGAGCATCCCATTGACGATCAGGGAGCCCGCAGCGCCCGCAGCCATGGCCAAGGAGCGGCCGGAGAAAGCCGAGGAGACCGAGCAGATGATAGAGAAGGAAGCCGCGAAAGATGCGGCCGAGGCGGCAGCAGGAGCCGGGGACGGCCGGGACATGAGAGCCGTGCTCCTCTCTGGGTTTGGAGGTCTCAACAAGCTGCGGGTGGCACGGAAAGTGATGCCGGAGCCCCTGGAGGGCGAGCTGAAGATCCGAGTGAAAGCCTGGTCCGGTACCCCTTCTATACACTCTGCTATTGTATATGTGGGCAACCTGTGGCTGAGAGCGGAACCACAAGTCCCAGCATGCCTTGGTAGTGTCCAGATGTGGCCGTGCTTCTTGGTACTTGTAGTCCCCCTCTATCTATACATAGGGGATGGCATTCATATCCAGGGCTAGCTGTTGGTCCCTCTAAGCCAGTGCTGATGGGAACTTATATAAAGATCTGGCCGGGCATCCTGGTACTTATAGTTCCCCTCTATCTATACATAGGGGGAGGGATCACAGTCATATCCAGGACTGGCTGCTGGTCCCTCTTGGCCAATGTTGGTTGGAACTTATATAATGAACTGGCCGGGCTTCCTGGTACTTGTAGTTCCCCTCTATCTATACATAGGGGATGGCATTCATATCCAGGGCTAGCTGTTGGTCCCTCTAAGCCAGTGCTGATGGGAACTTATATAAAGATCTGGCCGGGCATCCTGGTACTTGTAGTTCCCCTCTATCTATACATAGGGGGAGGGGTCACATTCATATCCAGGGCTGGCTGCTGGTCCCTCTTTGCCAATGTTGGTTGGAACTTATATAAAGATCTGCAATGAAAGGGTTCAATCACATGACCCGAGGTCTGCAGATGATGTCACTAGTGGGAGATTCGGACAGATGAGTGTCAGCTCTTGTGCCCAATTGAAGAATTAACAAGGATCTCCTCCTTCCTTCTCCGTCACCGGTTCAGGGTCATTCAGGAGGGGGAAAAAAAGTCACCGTAGGGTCTAAGGCTGTCAAATTGGCAAGTATGGGCGGGCACCCCCAAAATGTGGCCCCTGACACCTCCAAAGGACCGCACATTGTATTTCATTTATGTAATGCTACAGAGGACTGTTAGAGACTGCAGAGAGGGTGGGTGGTGCAGGGACCAAAGTCATGCGGTAGGAGACCGTCATGAATTCACCCTAAACTGTGACTACCACCCTCCCTCCCGGCCAGTCAGAGTCAGTTGCGGCGGAGGGCATTCCCCACCCCTCTGTGATTTATACCTGCCCCCCCACAGCAATGGCTGCCACTAATTGGGCCGGAAGGGGGGGAGGGGGGATATGACAGTCACAGTTTTGAGTGGGCTTGGGTGAGCTCAGGTGTGCAGGCTGTCAGAGACTAAGGATGTGTTACATGAGATTGCTAGAGATCACTGACATGACAGCCTCTTCCCCTTACCGGTTTCTGGGGTCCAAGGGCCTCACTTATTTAATCTATCTATGTAACGCTACAAAGGACTGTTAGAGACTGTGGAGAGACTGGACAGGATACAGGTGTGGCTGTTGTGTGGTGTCATGCTGCAGAAGACCCGTCAGAGACTGAGAAATTAGTTACATAGGACTGCTAGAGATCACACTGACATTACAGAGACTGTGGACGTGCTACAGGTGTGGCTGTAGTGTGGTGTCATGCTGCAGAAGACCGTCAGAGACTGAGGATGTGTTACATAGGACTGCTAAAGGTCACTACAGCCTCTTCCCATTACTGACTGTTGAGGTCAAAGGGCCACAAGTACCAAGGGACCACACATTGTATTTAATATGTGTAATGCTACAGAAGAGTGTAAGAGACTGCAGAGAGAGCGGATGATCAGAGACTGCAGAGAGAGCGGATGATCAGATACTGCAGAGAGAGAGCGGATGATCAGAGACTGCAGAGAGAGCGGATGATCAGAGACTGCAGAGAGAGCAGATGATCAGAGACTGCAGAGAGAGCAGAGGATCAGAGACTGCAGAGAGAGCAGAGGATCAGAGACTGCAGAGAGAGCAGATGATCAGAGACTGCAGAGAGAGCGGATGATCAGAGACTGCAGAGAGAGCAGATGATCAGAGACTGCAGAGAGAGCGGAGGATCAGCGACTGCAGAGAGAGCAGATGATCAGAGACTGCAGAGAGAGCGGATGATCAGCGACTGCAGAGAGAGCGGATGATCAGCGACTGCAGAGAGAGCAGAGGATCAGAGACTGCAGAGAGAGCAGATGATCAGAGACTGCAGAGAGAGCTGATGATCAGAGACTGCAGACATGCTTCAGTTGTATCTAGAGACTGGAGTCATGCTGCAGGACACTGTCAGAGACTGAGGGCAGGTTACATGTGACTGCTAGAGATCACCGACATTACAGCCCCATTATAAATCAAGGTTAGGGTATTAGGAGTCTTGGGTGAGGCACATGTTGCAGTTGATTTGGCCTCCTTCTGGTCTAGGGCAGAGGTGGGCATCTCCGGCCCTCCAGCTGTACTTCAACCACAAATCCCATCATTCCTCTGCCTCTGGGAGTCATGTTTGTAATTGCCACAGTCTTGCAATGCCTCATGGGACTTGTAGTTCCATAACAGCTGGAGGGCCAGAGTTGCTCACCCCTGGTCTGGGGGCTCAAATAAAGAAGATATACTCACCCGATCCTCCATCTCGCTTGGCTGTTATAGACCGGCCCTTGCAGCCTCCTCCCCCCCCCCCCCCCCCCCCGGG